CATAATTCTTGGATGTTCTGCTCATGGTTTCTTAGCAGACTTGCTGAGCTGTCTATGTTCTTTTCCAGTTGAAATACTTTGTCTTCATTGTCTGATGTTCTCTCTTCTAAGTGATCTACTCTGCTGGAAGTATTCTCAATTGAGTTTTTAAGTTGGTTTATTACTTCCTGCATTTGTAGGATTTCTATTTGTTTGTTTTTTGTTACCTCTATCTCCCTGTGAAATTGATCTTTTACTTCCTGTATTTGTTTATGTAGTTCCTTTTCAATGTGATCTTTCATTGTCTGATTTTGCTGTCTCATGTCTTCCTTGAGACTCCAGATCATCTGAAGCATGTATATCCTGAACTCTTTATCTGACATTCCATCTGTTGCAGCTATTACCTCTTCGAAAGTTGAGTTGACCTGCATTGCTTGTGGTCCTTTCTTTCCTTGTCTTTTCATACTGCTCACATTTCTTTCTGCTTGGTGAAACTGTTGTGTTTTTGAAATTTACCCCCTATTTATTTGTGTTGCTCTTGTATAGTTGGGAAGTCTCCCTTGCAGGGCGAGTAGTGGCTGTGCTCCTCCTCTAATTAGGGTGGTCTGTCTACCACGATGGTCGGTCGCAGGTCTGCCCCCCCTGCGGGCGCGAGTGGTAGCTCTGCTCTGCCCCCACTCCAATTGTGGTGACGTAACTACCACGCCCTCGGGTCGTTGGTCCTGATCCAGATGTGGGCGGCGGCTCTGCTCGATCCCCACTCCAATTGGTGTGATGTGTCTACCACTCTAGGCCTGTTCCGTCTGTGGGTCGCAGGTCTGCCCACCCTGTGGGCTCGGGCGGCAGTTCTGCACAGCCCCCACTCCCAATGGGGGTACCTGACTGCCTCTCCAACGGTTCGCTGAGCCCCCTCCGGACACGGGCGGCGGCCCTGTTCCACCCCCACTCCAACCAGTGTGACGTGACTGCCTCGGTGCTACGTGTTCACCACGCAGGCAGGCTACCGGGCCTGTCCTGCCAGTGGGTCGCAGGTCTGCCTACCTTGCAGGCTCAGAGGGTGGCTCTGCACAGCCCCTACTCCAAATGGACTTACTTGGCTACCGCGCCGTCGGGTCGCTGGTCCTATTCTAGGCATGGGCGGCTACTCTCTTCGGCCCCAGCTGCAGTTGGTGTCGTGATACCACGCTGGCAGGTCACTTGGCCTGCTCTGGGCGCAGGCGGCAGCTCCACTCTGCAACCCCGGCCCCCACAGCACCCAGCAGGACTCGGACCAAGAAGCAGTCACCACAGGTTCCCTGGCCCTGGGCCAAAGCAGCTTCGGGAGCCAGAACCTGGCCTCTCCGATCCTGATACACGCTCCGCTGGGGGCTGGCTCCAAGGAGCGCCCCCCCCCCACGGGTTCCCCAGCCCCAGGCCAAAGCAGCTCCGGGAGCCAGAGCCCGGCCGCTCCAAGCTCTCCAAACTCGGTGCACACTCCGCTGGGCACAGGCTCAAAGACGCAGTCCCCACGGGCTCCCCAGCCCCGGGCCAAAACTGTTCCGGAAGTCAGAACCCAGCCTCCCCGAGCTCAGCACACACTCCACTTGGAGCTGGCCTCCACATGCAGTCTCCGCAGGTTCCCCAACCCTGGGCCAAGGCAGCCCTGGCAACCAGAATCCGGCCGCTCAGAGCCTGGCGCACGCCTTACCAGGAACGAGCCCCCAGGTGTATTCTCCACAGGTTCTCCAGTCCCGAGCCTGAGCAATCTGTCTGGGAGACGCAGGCAAATACCAGCCTGAAATCACCTATTCTGTAGCTGAATGAGCTGAGATTAGTAGAAAACAGGGATGATTACATCATCTCTCCAAGATGGCGGCTGCTGTCCTCCTCCGTGGTCCGACCGGTGGTGGAAACCGAACTGGACCGCTTCTCTCCTCTGTCTCAAAGCCGGAACTCAGCACTAAGCGCGGCCATTGTACCACTGGCGGGAGGACGCAGAATCCACATCGCTGCACCCCCGCTCCGGCACCTCACCGCTTCCCTGTGCGCGCCGCAGACTCCAGCTGCGGGGTGTTCCGCCGATCAGGCAATGCGACCCTCTGTGCCGAGAAATCGCAGAGAAATCGCCCTCGACCGGGCTCCCGCAGCCAAACCTCGCGCAATGGAAATCCATCCACTAGATTCTGGAGCACCTCAATTTCACTGGAAATTCCCAACAAGATAGCCTTCAGCCGTTTCACCTCGTCTTTCTCCCACTCAGTGACGCCGCGCACTGGGGTGATGCACTCCCTTCGCCGCCATCTTCCTTGTCCTGTTGGTTATGCTTTCTATTGAGTTTTTTAATTTGATGTATTGTATCCTTCATTTTAAGGATATCTGACTGTTTTTTTTTTTTTAGGGTCTCATTGCTTTCTTGAAGTGATCTTTTGCTACCTGCATTTGCTCTCTTATCTCATTATTGGAGTGATGAATTTTTGCTTGTATTTTCTCATTTAGGTCATTTTTTAATTCACAGATCATTTTAATTATGAACCTTCTTTCTAAAATTTTTTTATTTGTTTTAATTAGTTATACATGAAAGGAGAATGCACTTATGTACTTTGATATACCAAACATAGATGGGAGATAATTTCTCATTTTTCTGAGTATACATATTGTAGAATCACATTGGTCATATAGTCACATACGTACGTAAAGTAATAATGTCTGTTTCATTCTACTATCTTAATCATGAACCTTCTGAACTCCTTCTCTGACATTTAATCAATTTCGCTGTCTGTGGGTTATGTTATTATAGTGTCCTGGTTTGTTTGGTGCACTTTCCTCTCTTGTTTTTTCATGTTCTCTACGTGCCTTCCTTTCTTGAAGTGTGGATCTGAGATATTACAATTTCTTCCCTATATTCTTCTAATACCTGTGCAGATTATCTGTACCTTACCATGATGATGGGGTTCTAAACTCTGCTGATGTTTCTCAATGGATGCTACTGCATCCTGGATCTGAGTCCTGTGCAAGTTTGAGTGGGTGGATCTGAGCTGCTGGGTTGGAAGGGGCAGTACTGCACCAGAGGCTAGGCTGTGGTGGGTGTCTGTCCCACCATGGGGAGGGATGGACTGGGCCTGTTTTTTGCCTGGGACCTGCACAGGTTGGTGTGGGTGAACCGGGACTACTGAGATCCTGGGTCTTATGGGAGCTTGTGTTGGGGGTCTGGGCTGGATCTCGGCTCCCGTAGTAGTCCACTGGTAAGAAGGGATGGTCCTGGGCCAGAGGCTAGGCTCTGGCATGTGTCTTCCCCACCTGGGGAGGGGTGGCCCAAGTTTCCTGTGAGCCTGGGTCCTGCACAGACTGGTGTGGATGGATCTGGGCCACCGGGCTTGACCAATATTTGTCTTTCTATGCCTTGTTTATTTCATATTTTATTTAACATAAGTAAGGACACAAAGGACCATACAAACTGATTGTAATCCTTACGATGTTTTTAAAAATATTTTAGAAACAAAAATATAGTTTTTGATGATTTCAAACATACACATACACCCACACACACTGTAGTTTTATTTAATCTTCCTCCCGTACTAACACTGTTTTGCTTTCTTATAGTTGCATTGTGATGTACATTTTTCCATTGATATTTATTAGTGCTTGAGTACTCCCGTAGGAGATAATTCTTGAGGAGATGTTACTAGGCTTCAGAACATAAATTTAAAACAATGACTAATTCTTTTTCCTAGATTTACATTGTTAAAATGACACTTATTGAATTACAGTGATTAGCTATTAATGTAGACAATTTGGAAAGCAGAAAAACAGAGAAGAAATGATTTATAATCTTGGCACTAAAGATGACTTCATTCAAGATTTTTATTTATATAATTTTCATCTTTTTATAATCCATTACATATTTGCAAAAAGGATTATTTTGTTTTCTAAACTTTTCCCCCCACTCAGTACTGTATCATCAACATAGCATTTCTCTACCATTAGACAGCCTTCTACAACATGGTTTTACTGTCTGGTACTAAAATGACATGTCTGTACCATGAGTTTACTTAACTTCCTCTTGGAGGACCTTTAGTTCATTTCTGATGTTACATTATTATATGAGCTCTAGCTGAAGAACCCTGTTTTGCCCCTTGGGCATATCTACTGTGATTTCATTAAGTCAATTTTGTAGAAGGAGAATTGCTGGTTCAAATTGTAGGAATAAGTTTTAAGGCTTTTGACAAATATTGCCACAATGCCTTTGACAGTTGACATTTATACCAAAGAGTCAAGAAAGCAAAAGGAAATTATAAAAAGTGTTTGAGGGACTGGGTTGTGGCTCATTGGTAGAGCACTTGCCTAGCATGTAGGAGGTCCTGGGTTTGATCTCCACACTGAAAAAAAAATTACATATTATTTTCTTAAATATAAACCATCATTTTCCAGAAAACCTCTTTGAAAGCACCTGTTTTAAGTATTCGTCAGGCATCTTCCTGAAGGTGAATTTATCCAATGTTATCCTGTTCCAAATAGGAAAATGTGGTTGGGTGATTTTCATGAGGGGAAAGTTTCTTTTTACTTGCTGGTCTTCTGTCACTAACTTATTATGCTTGCTTCTTGAGTTTATTTTCAAATAAATTTTGTTACGTTTCTATCACAGATTGCTTCAAGAAAACCCTGTGTTTTTTTCCAGCACCTTCAGTGGCAACACAAGAATCCTGGTCTTGGGAGCAGTATTTGAAAGAACAGAACGCTATAGCAGCACCTGTTGAGCTGTTTTCCAAGGTCAGCCACTGGAGGTCTTATATTTTATATTAAACAAAATGAACTCATTTATCTAGATAACCCATCAACTTATTTGAAGTTGGAGATGGGACTGGGAAATTTCTTAATGAAGCTCATCAGTGCCTTACTGTTTTCAAGCATATGGTGGAGCCTGCGTTTGAACCTTAATTCTGCCACAGGCCAACAAGCTCTGTGACATTGGGAATGTCACTGTAAAGTAGAAAAAGCATGCTACCTACCTCGGTAGGTTGTTGGAGGACTATATAAGTCAAATACATAAAGGACATGAGATACTATTGCATATAATGCTCAATAAGTATTAATCTTTATCTTTCTCAGCTGATATTATTTGCATATACCCATTCGAGGCCTGAATTACAGGGATTTGTTTTAATGTGGTACATGGAAGTGGTGGGTCTAATGAGGTGTTGGAGAAGGTAATGGAACCCCTGAAATAAGACATACAACTAGAAAGGTGTACTTGTATAACCAAGTGACTACTGACACCAGGGTCTTATAGTCACAGGGATCATCTGTATCTGAGATGTAAAATTGCTTGCTGCCCTTCCTATTTTTAATCTCAGTTTTCAGTGTTTCAAAAAATATATGAAGAATATTAAATAAATATTAAACAAAATTTCATTGGATTCACAACATTATGTTGCATTTTATTTATTTATTTTTTCTTTTTTTATTTGTTCTTTTTAGATATACGTGACAGTAGATATAGATCCATGGAGTATCATTTGTTCTAATTAGGACCCCATTTTTGTGTTTGTACATGATGTGGAGTTACACTGGTCATGTGTTTATATATGGACATAGTTATAGGAACAGTTATGTCTGACTCATTCTCCCTTCTTTCCTACTCTCATCCTCCCTTTCTTCCTTTCATCCCCCTTTGTCTAATTCAGTGAACTTCTATTCTTCCCTCTTCCCACCTAATTGTGTGTTATAGGATGCACATATCAGAGAGAGCATTCAAATTTTGCTTTTTGGGGATTGTTTATTTCACTTATCATGATAGTCTCCAGTTCCATCCATTTATCAGCAAATGCTGTAATTTTATCCTTCTTTATGGCTGAGTAATATTTCAGTATGTATATATACCACATTTTCTTTATCCATTCATCTCTTGAATGGCATGTGTATTGGTTCCATAGCTTAGCTATTGTGAATTGAGCTGCTATAAACATGGATGAGGCTGCATCACTGTAGTATGTTGACTTTAAGTCTTTTGATTATATACTGAGGAGTGGGATAACTGGGTAAAATGGTGGTTCCATTCCAAGTTTTGTGAGGAATCTCTATACTGCTTTCCAGAGTGGTTGGACCAATTTTCATTCCCACTAGCAATGTATAAATAAGTGTACCTTTCCCCCCACATCCTTGCCCACATTTATTTTGACATGTATTCTTGATAATTGCCATTCTGATAGGAGTGAGATGAAATCTCAGTGTAGTTTTAATTTGCATTTATTTAATTTCTAGAGTTGTTGAACATTTTTTCATATTTTTTGACTATTTGTATTTCTTCTTAAGTGAAGTGTCTGTTTAGTTCCTTTGTCCATTTATGGCTGCTGAGAAGAAAGTCACTGATGGATGAAATATTTTATATATGTCTTTTAATATAGATTATTAATTGTATATTTGAGTTCTATAGCTTTTTTATTTAGTTTTTGGTCTGGAGGATGTATCCAGTAATGAGAGAATTGTGTTAAAGTCACCTAGTATTATTATGTTGTGGTATGTTTGATTCTTGAAATTGAGAAGGGTTTGTTTGAGGTAAGTAGATACTCCATTTTTGGAGCATAAATATGTATGGTTGTTATGTCTGGTTGGTGTATAATTGCTTTAGGCAGGATGAAATGATCTTTGTGGTCCCTACTGATTAACTTTGGCTTGAAGTCCACTTATATTATCTGATATTAGGATAGAAATCCCTGCTTGTTTACAAGATCCATGTGAGTGATGTACTTTTTTTCTCATTCTTTCACCTTTAGTCTGTCTTTGCCTATTAGGTGAATCTCTTATTGTTGGGTCTTGTTTTTTAATCCAATCTGCCAGTCTGTGTCTTTTGATTAAATTGTTGAGGCCATTTATGTTCAATGTTATTATTATTATTATTAATTTGGTATTGGGGATTGAATTCAGGGTGCTTAACCAATGAACCACATCCCCAGCCCTTTTTTATATTTTATTTAGAGATAGGGTCTCATTGAGTTGCTTAGTGTCTCACTAAATTGCTGAGGCTCTCTTTAAGCTTGAGATCCTCTTGCCTCAGCCTCCCAGGTTGCTGGGATTACAGTCGTGCACCATCTTGCCTGACTATATTCAGTGTTACTATTGAGATGTGATTTTTATTCCCTGACATTTTGATTTGCTTCTGGTTTTTAATTTGATTTCATTTGAATTTAATTTCTCCATTGATTCACTGCTCTGTTGGTGTAGTTCCTCCTTTTGCTGGTTTTTACTTTTATTTTTTTTATTTCTTCTTCATGAGCTATTAGATTGAGTATATTTTGTAGTACAGGCTGTCTAGTTGTGAATTCTTTGTGGAAAGTTTTTATTTCATTGTTAATTCTGAAGCTCAATTTATAGCATTCTTGGCTGGCATCCATTTTCCTTTAGAGCTTGGTACATTTTTCCTAAGGCCTCTTAGCTTTGAGAGTCTGGGTTCAGAAATGAGATGAGATATGGGTTGGTTTTCCACTAAATATAACTTGTCATTTTTCTCTGTCAGCCTTAATTCTGTATGTTAGTCATTTTCATAATAATGTGTCTTGGTGTGGGTCTGTTGTAATTTTGTGAATTTCATGTCCTCTAAGCCTCCTGTATTTGATTTTCCATTTCATTCTTTAGGTTTGAGGAATCATCTGATATTATTTAATTGTAAAGATTGTGTATTCCTTTGATTTGTATCTTTGAGTCTTCATCTATCCCAACAAATCTTAAATTTGGTCTTTTCATGTTATCCCATATTTCTTGGAGGTTCTGTTCATGGTCTCTTAACATAATTTCTCCATGGTTAACTTTATTTTCAAAGATTATATAGTTTGTCTTCATGGCCTGAAGCTCTGTCTTCCAAGTGGCCTAGTCTGCTGGGGATGCTTTCCATTGAATTTTTAATTTGGCTTATTGATTCCTTCATTTTTGAGGATTTCTGCTTGTTTTTTTTTTCAGAATCTCTATGTCTTTGTTGAAGCGATTTTTTCATGTCCTGTATTTTCTTTCTGATTTCACTCCTTATATTGTCCTTTACCTCACAGATGAGTTAAACTATGAACAAACTCTTTCTCTTGACATTTCTTCCACTGTGATGTTGGTGTATTCTGTTACTGAAGTATCTTGGTTGGTTTGAGATGATTTATTCCCTTGCTTTTTCATGTTATTTGTGTGTCTACCCATCTGAGGGTATGGATCAGAGGTGTAGATTTTCTACCCTGCAGATTATTAGTGTCCCTGAATTTTAGTATTTCACTGTTTAGATGGTGACAAATAATAACAAAAACCTATGCAAAAAAAAAAATCAGCATTAAACCAAATAGTTCCTGCTCCGATGTCTACAATATTGATTATCACAATAAATAAAAATGATATGATGAGTTATTGCTTACAATAAAAATAGTAAGTTTGCAAAAGAGTTTACAATTTCAAATGATAGACGGGGAGAACAGAAGTGATATAAGATATGATTATGAGAGAAGAAGAGAGATAGAAGTAAAAAATTAAAGGCAGAGTGAAAGGGAGAATAATAGACATTGGCTGCTAGCAAAAGAAAAGAGAATCAAGGGAAATAGATAATGAAACAAATAAGTAAATTTTTGAAAAACTAAAAATAAAAGAATATATAGCAAAACCAAAATATACTAATCAAACATCTTAGTTCTCAAAATACTGATCCATGAAAAATAACTTGCTTCAAAAGAGGTTGAAATGAGAAAAAAATGAATATGAATATATAAAACTGTTCATCACATGATTTAGGCTCAGATTGTCTCCAGGCTTTTTGCTGAATGCTGCTTGGTCTGAAGATTTTAAATCAGTGCACCATCATGGCCCAGTGTTGCTGGTCCACACTGGAAGACTATACTCTAGGGATCTCCCATGAGTCCTACTCACGTGGTGGAGGAGCCAATTCTTAGTCCTTTACATCACCTGTGGACCCCATTTTACTTTCTCCCACCCTTGCCCTTTTCAATTCCTTGCTAGGCACATCTATCCCAGCCCAGTCTTGCAAACTGCAGGATTGGAGGGGAATAGAGGAATTGGGTGGGTCTCCATGACCATTTGTGCCCTGTGTAAAGCTCCTTCCATATTTGATTTAACCTAACTTAAGCACACTCTATGTCATTTCATGTGGGTTTGTCAGGCCTGTGATTCAGGCCAAACCCAAGTTTGTCGGGAACAGACTCCCCCAGCTGCTGGCCCCTATGCCACAGCTTCAAAATGGCTCCTTCCTCTCTCTTCCACAGGCAGCTGGGAGAAATGAAGTTTCTTTTCTGCACAAGGATATTGTGCCCCCCACTTTTCAGTTTGGTCAGGCAGTGTCTTTTATCTCTGATCTCTCCATACCCAAACACACCTTAGGCCTCCTAAAAATGTAGGTTTCTTTAATTCCCCTACCCCTCCACTTTGCTTGCCAAGGGACCACTCTGGATGGTGTCTTTGGCCATAGCAATGACAATGGCCCTGGATATTTCATTCTTATTTTATTATATCCAACCTCCTGAGTTCCTGATCTACTTTGCATGTCCAATATTAAATCCCAGTAAAGCGCTCCCCCATTCTTTTTTCACCGACCTTGCTGAGAAGCTGCCTATCTGCTTTCTTGGTTTCATGCAATGGGTCAGCTAGGAAAGTGACCTTCTCAATTCTACCATCTTGAAAAACTCTGTTTCAGAGGTCTCAGTTTATAGATGGCTGGCTCCACTCCTTAGGGCTTGAGGTGGAATAATGTGGCAGAGAAAAGCAGGTCAGAACACAACCATTTAAATTAA